GCGTGAGCGCACGGCGGCCAGAAGAGCGCACGGCGGCAGGAGCGCACCGCGGGGGACCCCGCGCAGGGAAGCGAGCCGAGCAAGGGGCTGCCCGAGAGGCGGGCGGAGCAGAGGGAGCGCCGTGGAGACGCCGGGGGCACCGGGCCGCGCCAGGCTGGTGAGTGCGCCGCGGGGCGTGGGGAGCCAGAGAGTGGGCGTCGAGACCCCGCGGTCGCGGTCCCCAGCCCGCCTGGCCCCGGGCTCTGCCCCCGCCGCCCTCTGTTCCCGCGCCTCCTCAGTGCTGATCCTCTGCGTCTCTGCCCCGTCTCTCCGTCTGTTTTTCTCTGCCTCTGTCCCTGTTTCCCTCTATTTACTGTCTCGCCCTGTTTCTTTCTAATCTTTTCTCTCTTCAGTCTCTGTCTCCCGCTGCGTCGGTCTTTCCCTGTCTCTCTCAACCACTGTCTCACTATTTGTCTCTCTCTCCCCCTCTGTCTCTGTCCCTCTCTCTGGACTGCCTGTCACTCAGGTCTTGTTATTTATCTCTTGCTCCTCTATGTCTCTTACCTTCCCTCTCTACCCAGTATCTCTATCAATCTCATCTCTCCCCACTTCTGTCTCTCTGTTCTTGTCTCTGCCTGATATCTCTGTCTCTCCCCACCTCTGTCTCTCGTTGTCTCTCAGTCCCATCTCTATTTCTATTTCCATATCTCTCCTGTCATTGTCTCTTGCTTGGCTCTCGCTTGTGCTCTCGCTCTCTCTCTCCCCCCCCCTTCTCTCCATTTCTTGGTCCTTGTCACCCTCTCTGATCTGCTGTCTCTACCTGTCCTCTGTCAATGTCCATTTCTGTCCTTTTGAGTCTGGTTTCTTGTCTCTCCTGCTCTTCCTACCTCTGTCTCTGTCGATCTCTGGGAAAGCTATCTTTCTCCTTTTTTCTTATGGCCCCCCACACTTCCCTGAATCAATGACCACCTCCTCTTGTGCTGGGGGTTGTGGGGGCAGCAGGGCACAACACTCATAATTCCCACCCCCACAGGCGGCCCTTTCCTCCGGGCCCCGCCTGGTGCCAGCCCCCCCACCAGCGGGGGGACTGCGCCTGGAAGCTGTAATGGAGGCCCTGCAGAGGCAGCAGGCAGCCCGCCTGGCCCAAGGGGTGGGGCCTTTGGCCCCTCCACACTCACTGCCACCACCACTACCTCCCTTGCCTGGCCCCCGGACCCTTCAGGCCCCTGAGGGGGTTTTGGGGGAGGCTGGGACTGAAGAAGAGGAGGGTGCTGAAGAGGATGAGGAAGGGGAGGAAGCCGGGGCAGAGGAGGAGGCAGCCGAGGAGAGCCGTCCAGGGACACAGGGCCCCAGCTCACCTTCCAGCCAACCCCCTGGACCTCATCCCCATGAATGGACCTTCGAGGAACAGTTCAAGCAGGTAAGACCCCCTCCATATCAGGCCCTCTCCCCTTTCTCCTCTCTGGGAAAAGCAAAGCCAGGTGATTCTTAGCCCACCCACCCCCACTGCAGGATGGAAAGACAGAGGCACAGAGACCTGGAGAGAGACAGGGGGGAAGACTGAAAGATAGAAGGTGACAGGGAGGGAGAAACGGACACCCAGAGACATGGAAAGAAGTGCATAGGCACACACTGAAAGGTGCAGGAGACGCCCGGAAACATGGAGGAGGCATGACAGACTGGAGGCTCTTGGTGAGGCTGGAAGGAAAAGTGGGAGGGGTGAGGAGCTTCAAGAATTCTTTTGAGGGAGTGGGATCTGAGGAATGGGGATTCCAGTGCCAGAACCATCTTACCCTACCTTCTCACACATCAAGTCGCAAGGTCATATTCCAGCAACCAGTGGGGGTTTCCTGGGCTGCCTATTTCTGTCTTTGGAAGCAGGCTGGAGGTTGCCACTCCTTTGGCAAGCTGATACCCCCCTCATCTCTTCCCTCTTGCATTGCCCTCATCCAAATCCTCTCCCTGGCCTGAGTTCTGTGGGTGACAGTTCCTAGTCTGTGATGGCCACTACAGCCGTGGTGTGACTAAAGGGCTCCTGTACAGCTGGGAATGACCAGATCTTACTCATAGAGCCTTAATTTGAGGGTCTTCCTCTCCGTGGAACCCATCTGAATGTTATTCTAAGGCACTGCTTCAGGCTGTCACTAGGAAGGTATTATGAAGGGCTCTGACTCTAGGTGTGCTGTTCTGGTGATGTTACTTGTAGGATGTTGGTCTTGGGTATTTTCCAGAAGTGTTCATCTGTGGCTAGTACTCTGTGGCATTAGTGTCAAACTGGGAGAGTTATTCGGAGCTCTGTGGCTCTGTGACTGTTTCTCCTGAGTATAATTCTGGGGATTATTACTTGGAGAGCATGTTTGTTATTTGTGGGTATCCATCTAAGACTTTGGGCTCAGTTCTTGTGGGAGTGTAGGTCTAAAGTGGATCTCTGGGGTTTGTTACTCATGGGTGTTTTTTTTTTTTTTTAATTCTGAGAGTTCTTATTGGGGGAATGGAGTGTTACCTATTGGTGTTACTCAGGGACTGTTATTCTGGGTAAATGAGTGTTACTCTAGGGATTGTTTCTCCTGGGTGGTATTGGGGAGGTGATACTGGAGATGGGGCTCCAGGTGACTGGAAATGCGTGGGATGACCTCTGGGCCTTTCAAGTTCTGACCCCACAGGTCCTGGGTGGAGCAGGGCCATTACCTCTGTGGCAGCCTTTGTAGTGGGTAGGTCACTGTCCCTGGAAAGAGACCAGAAGGTAGGCTGAGGGGCCCCAGGTTTCAATCCAGAAGCTTCTGAGTATCCACTCTGCCCAAAGAATGGGTTAGAGGTATCTCCGCCCTTCGCCCCCAGCTCTGGTACATGGGGATGTGAAAAGCAAGAAGCCTTTGCAGGAATGAACAAGAGCGAATGAGTGCCTCAAAAACAGCTGTCAGTTTCCTCAGTATGACGCACTATCCTAGCCTGACTTCCTCCCTGGGGCTCTGTGTATGCCCTGGAGGGCAGGCTGAGCCTCCTAAGCCTCCTCTCATCCCCTATTCCCCAGAGGGATGGTTTGAGCTTCCCAGGGACCCCCTGGCCAGTGGAGGGTCTGCGTGTATATCAGAAAAAAGTGCCCTACCTACCCTCATGGGGAGAGAGTCTAATGCCAGGGAGTCCACATTTCAGACCCAACCCACCCTTTCAGCTGAGAACCCTTATTCAGGGTATAACCTGAGTTGGGGTCCCAGGGGGAGGGGGGCAGTCAGTGGAGCTGAAAAATGACCTCAGTCCTTCCCCAGCTGTACGAGCTTGATGGAGACCCCAAGAGGAAGGAATTTCTGGATGACCTGTTTAGCTTCATGCAGAAGAGGGGTGAGTGGGATGATGTAAGGGAAGGACCCCCACCTACCAGTTTTGAGGAAGGGAGATCCCAGGGTTTAGTCCCTAGGTTGGGTCCTCTCTGCAGAGGCCTGAGCTTGGCAACACCTATCCTTTGGGCCCTCAATAGCGTCTTTAACCTCTGACCCTGCCCCCCTCCTCCACCCAGGGATTAATTAGTGGCCAGCCCACTGGCAGGTTAATGAGTGTGGGATCAATTGGGAGGGTGGAGGGGGAACTGGTAGGGGGTTGGCCTGGGGGGAGTCCCCAGGATTGGGGGGCTGGGAATGCCTTGTTCCTCTTTCAGTGGCCCTTTGTCCAGCCTTGTGTCTCCTCAGTTTCCCCTTGCTTTAGGCAGGGGACACCCAATGTGCTCCACAGCAGGAAGGACTGGGATTAGACTGAAGGAAGGACTTCTCAAGGGGTAGGCTGGGGACCATGTGAGTTGGGGTTGTGGAGGAGGGGGAATTCTTTTCCAGGAATCTCAGAGCTAGAAGAAAATGCAAGGGTCCAGGAGGAGATCAGGGTGGGCGGCAGTCCATCACTTAGGCTTCTCCCCAGATTCATGGGTCCGAAGACTGACTCATTATCTCTCTCTACAAAGCTAATTAACTCACTCGGAGCTTGGCCTGATAAGCCACTAATTAACTAGCTGCACTGCACCCCCCTCCCTTAGTGCAGCTGCTGGTCAAAGTCCCCCAGGCTCCCACTGTAGGACCAGCACCCCTTTTGGGATCCTTTCTAGCCAGGGACCCTCAGTGGGGCCCCAGGTCTTTTTTGCTTCCCAGGGAGGCCCAGTCATTCTGGTCCCAATGTCCCCTCCCTCCCCTTCCTCAAGGTCTCCCCGCCACTGGGGAAGTGGGGTAGGGTGGTCTGAGCAGGTCCCAGCGTTTCCTCCATCACCCTCAGGCCGGGAGCTCTGCCTCCCTCTGGTCCCTGCCTCCCTCCGCTCCCTGTGCTGGGGGAGGAGGTCCCGCGGGACCGATAATTTCCCCCCATTAATCAGGCCGCAGCTAATTGTTCGGGTCCAAAGGCGGCGGCGGAAGGGGACGGGATCGGTAAGGAATTAACTGGGGCCCATCGCTCAGAGCAGACAGGCCCCTTTGTCAGGACTGGCCGGCGGGGGCGGCGTGAGCTGCGGAGTTGGCGAGCCGAGGCGGGGGCTGCTTCTCCTTCCATCCGCCATCCGCCGGTCTCGGGCAGCCATCCCCCGGCCGCTGCTTAGGGGAGTCCAGCTCTTCAGCACTGTCCGGAAGTCCTTACTACGGTCTACCCCAGGGGTCGGCAAACTAAAGCCGGCTGGCCAAATCTAGCTGCCTGCGAGATAAAAATGGTTTTTACATTTTTAAATAGTGGAAAAAATTAAAAGACGAATAACATTTCAGTAACATTTCAGGACGTGTGAAATTCGAATTTCAGGGTCTGTAAATAAAGTTTTTATTGTAATACAGCCAGGCCCATTCCTCTAAATATCCTCCATACCTGCTTTCAAGCTACAACGGCAGAGTGGAGTAGTTCGGACAGAGGCGGTTTGGCCCTCAAAGCCTTTAATATTTACCGTCTGGACTTTTACAGAAGTTTACCGACCCCTGATCTAGCTTCCTGTCCTTCCTGCTACAGTGCAGGGCTTGGGGGCTCTGTGGGCTCTGCCTGGAATCCCACCTCCCCATCCCTCCCTCTTCCCTTTTCTCAGAGGTCCCGCCCTGTACCCTGGCCTCGTCCAGGCAACCGACTCCTTCAGTCCTTGAGGATGTCCGCAGACAGGGTCTTAGTCTTAGTGTCCTGACTCTCTGTCCACCTCCCACCAGGGACGCCAGTGAACCGTGTGCCCATCATGGCAAAGCAGGTGCTGGACCTGTACGCGCTCTTTCGCCTGGTGACAGCCAAAGGCGGCCTGGTGGAAGTCATCAACCGCAAGGTGTGGCGGGAGGTCACGCGCGGCCTCAGCCTGCCCACCACCATCACGTCGGCAGCCTTCACTCTACGCACCCAGTGAGGCCAGGCGCGCGAGCGGAGCGGGAAAGGCTTGGGAAGGGGGCCACAGCGCGTGGAGGGCCCAGGGGCGGACGTTCCGTTGTGGGCTTGATCAGTTGGGTCCAGCCTCCCACCCACCCCTCCTTGTTCGTCCGCCCCTAGGTACATGAAGTATCTGTACCCGTACGAGTGCGAGACGCGGGCTCTCAGCTCCCCGGGGGAGCTCCAGGCAGCCATCGACAGCAACCGGCGCGAAGGCCGTCGTCAGGCTTATACCGCCGCCCCTCTCTACGGCTTAGCTGGGCCTACCCCTCGGGGAACTCCCGGCCAAATCTCGGGTTCTGGCGCCGCCCCGCCCACGCCCACGCCCACGCCCAGCCCCCGTCCTGCCCAAGGTTCCGCCTGCGGCCTGCCGGCGCACGCCTGCGCGCAGCTGAGCCCGGGCCCCATTAAAAAAGGTGTGAGGGGAGAGAGGTTGAGGTTTGGGCGTCTCTGAGACCTTAGAGGGTGCGCTGAGATATAGAGAACATTAAAATGTGGCGACTCTGAAGTCTGGGAAGTATTGAGGTCTGAGGGCAGCAAGGACTGACAGGGCACTGGGGTTTGCTGACCGCTAAGGTTTAGGGGTACTGAGGTTTGGGGTCAATGAAGCCGTGGGAGGTCTGGGGTACGGGTTCCTGCTGTGTGGACCGGAAGCTCAGAAAAAGGTCCTTTATCTAGAGGAGCTCCATTCCACACCTGTCCACCTAGGGCTCCTGTTTGCATGTAGTTTTTGCCTCCTGTGACCTGTATTATTTAATAACTAAGAACAAGGAAAGGACCCACATCATCTTGGACCAACCTAGACATATATATTGGCCCTTTGGGCTCTCCAGCTTCAGAGCCTCGAGGCTGAGACTTTGGATGGGGGGTGGGCGGATCAAAATTGGTGCTTCAGCTTGGGTGACCTCCACTGGTCCCAGGCCTGGGGGGAGAACCAAATGCAGAGGCAGAGTTGGTTGGTCTAGGAGAGCCTAATGACCTGTTCTTCCAGAGGAAAGCGGAATTCCAGCCCCTCGACTGGCACTGCCTGTGGGCTTGGCTTTGGGACCTGCAAGGGAGAAGTTGGCACCAGAGGAGCCCCCAGAGAAGAGGGCTGTGCTGATGGGGCACATGGATCCACCTCAACCTGGAGCTCCCCCCAGTTTCCTGCCCCGTGGCAAGGTTCCCCTGAGGGGTGAGGAGGGGCTTGTTGCTGAGAGGGCTTCGGACCTGTGCACTGAGGGAGGACATAAATGTTGGAGGTGGGGCAGAAAGATCCCTCAATAGACAGCTGTGTGATTGTAGGTATCGGGCTGAAGTGGAATGGGGGCTGTCTATAAGGATGGAGGGGGGAGCTTATAAGTCTGTAGTCTGATTCTCCAAAATGTGACTCCCTGCCCCTCCTGGACAGAAGAGCGGCTGGATGGGCCTCTCAGTCTGGCAGGCAGTGGTATCAGCAGTATCAACATGGCCCTAGAGATCAACGGGGTGGTCTACACTGGTATGGGTACAGCAGGCTGTCTATACTGGCATGAGGTCAGGGGTATTTGCTCTGGCATGGGGATTTTAGATTTTTTCAGCTAGCATGAGGTTCAGGGATATCCAAACTTGCATGGGTAATGTGGGGTTCAGGGGATTGCTACAATGGCATGGGTTAAAGGGGTGTCTACAATGGCATGGGGTCTAAGGCATGACCTCTCTGGCATGGGTACCATGGGATGTCTGCCTTGTCATGGGCCTATGTATCAGTGTAAATATTTCTTGTTTACCTGTTTGAGGGTATCTGTATTGGCATAGGAGTCTCCACTGACCTAAGGGGTTTGTCCTCATTGGTTTGTGACAGGGATATGTGTGTGGTGTTCTAACAATCAGGACACTGACTTTTGTTTTCCCCTTCTGTTTCTGTGCCTACCCCCTCCTGCCTGTGTTTTCCCTCCACCATCGCCTCACCCCTTTGTCAGGTGTCCTCTTTGCCCGTCGCCAGCCTGTGCCAGCTTCCCAGGGCCCAACCAACCCTGTACCTCCACTCCCTACAGGGCCCCCTTCCAGCCCCTCACCCTGAGAACTCCCACTTGGAATTAAGAGTCCCAGCCCCCCACATCTTGATTCTTCCAGGGTGCTCACTCTAGGACCCAGCCCTGGGAGATGACCTCCACCCCCCCACCATGCCATGTGGGCTTGAAGCCAAAGAGGTTTGTTTTTGTTTTTGTTTTTGGGTTTTTTTTATGTTACATCTACCTCATTGTAAAGGGAGAGCATCTCCTCCCTGGCCAACCCCAGCAGCAGCTACCAAAGAGTTCTGCCCCCAGTAACCCCCATCATCTCCTCGTGTGCCTCCCTGTGTCAGTGTCATCTTTAGGACCCCACCTCTTCAAATCAGACCTGCTTCCCTTCAGAAGCCATGTGAAGGGTTAGGTTGGGGTGTTGTGAAGGAGTCGTCCCTCAGGTCACATCTGAATAATAAAGGTGCAGTCCCTCCCTCTCCAGTGCCTCCTCTCCTTTTTGTTTGAGTCTGGGGGTTGGGGAGGGATTATGTGGTATACACAGGGTGTGTTGGGCCAGGGTTTCTCAGAGGGGAAGACAGAACAGCAAAGGTCCATGAAAGTAGAGGGGGTGGAGTTCATGAATCAGACTGCCTGAGTGCAAATCCTGATTCTACTAGTAGAGTGCGGAGTGGCCTTGGGCAAGACATTTAATTGCTTGAACCCTAAAAGACTCCTGAAGATTATGGCATCTCACGGAGTCTCCTACTGATCTAAGGGAATGGACCAATCCTTAAAAAATAGGTGTATTTATATGGGCAATCTCGGGGAATGGGGTGGGAAACCTCTCTGGTACCCTGGAATTAGAAGAAAGGCAAAAGTTTGTCTGGACAAGCAGAAGCTGGAAGCTAGGGTAGGGCTCGACAGCTGGAAGGTTGGCTAGGGTAACCGTTGCCTAGGTAACCAGACAGCTTTTGACACCTTTCACGGGCCCTGCCGGTCACTTCCGGCATCGGAGGGCTGAATCGTGACGCAACTTCCCGTATCGAGGTCCGCCCAGGCACTCGGATTAGCCCGCCTTCTCTATTTGGCCGGATGTCCCGCCCTCTGGCTGTTCCCCGGCTGAGGCGGGGCGGCGGTAGCTATGGCGGCTGTGACCGATGTGCAGCGGCTACAGGCCCGTGTGGAGGAACTGGAGCGCTGGGTGTACGGGTCGGGCGGGCCGCGCGGCTCTCGGAAGGTGAGCGATCTGGGATCCAGTGCTCTCTTTCTGGGGCAGAGCAAGAGCGGTCTACTGGCCTGGTCGTCGGGATGGATGCTACCGCTCCAGTCTCATCTCCCGCAGCCCGGCCTTTGAAATAATAAAGGTTCGAAACCTTGCAGAGCTTATCGGACCCTCGGGGTCCATTTCCATGGAGGGCATTGCGGGTTATTAGGACCGATTGCGATGGGCTCAGTGTGAAATGTGACTAAGACTCCGCCTCTGTCCTCGCGGCCTAGCTGGGGAGACCTGACACACTCGAGAAGCTGACTAACGAAGAGTTTCAGTAAGCTGAAGTCCGCAATGGAAGGGCCGTCACAGAGCCCTGCGTAACTAATTGCTAAATACTGTACAGAAAGAGGTCCATGGGACGCCAGAGGAGGCAGAGTAAAGGTAGATAAGGAAGGCTCCAGGGGTGGGAGGTGAGGTCTGAAAGAGCCAGGACTAAGAGGGGAAGGGATTGGGTACTGGGTGTTGAGATATGGACCGGCAGTCCACACCAGTGACTGAATTTTGACAACTGTGAAGCTTAGTTCTCCCAACCCCCACCCCCTCACCCCCTTTTTACTATGGGAAGACCTTTTACTGAAGGTGGAGTGTCAGGCATACCCTGGAGTTAAGTGTATCAGAGGTAATGATGTCTTTTTGTACACTTCTTGTGGAATTAGTTGTCACTAGCAGATTATGCCCCATTTGAGAACTGATTTCTCAAAACATTTGCTCCGGTTGACGTCTATGACACTAAATCCTTGTTTTCCTCCTACCGCTATGGCTGTTGCTGCTTAGTCCTGTTTGCCTCTCCATATATTTGACCCTTGAATATTGGCATTCCTTACCCTATATTCTAAAACCTGGGTGAGATCATTCACTCCCATGGTCTCTCCCTTTGTTTGACCCTTTAATATCGGGATTCCTCACCCTCTACCCCTGAAGCCTAGGTAGGTTCAGCTAGAGAGGTAGGAACCAGGGAATAGAATATATAGGATATGCTAATGCCCTATGAAGTCTAGTATAGTTAATTACCTCCCTAGTCAGACTTGAAACTTCCCAGGGACTACATGATTATCTTCCCCTTCACATTGAGGATTCCCGGAAGGTGGGGTTGCATCTCCCTTAAGAAAAGAGAAGGGGGCCAACCTACTTTGCTGGGTCAAGGAGACTTGGGAGTCTGAGGGAATGAGTGTTCTTTACCTCTTTCAAGCCTTGAGTCAAGAGGTGAATTTTGGAATTAACTTTCATTCCCCTTACAGGTGGCTGATGGCCTAGTCAAGGTACAGGTGGCTTTGGGGAACATTGCCAGCAAGAGGGAGAGGGTGAAGATTCTGTACAAAAAGAGTAAGTGATTCCATAGGGTGCCTGCCTGACCTCCTTCCCATGCCTGTGCTTCCTGGGACCTGGCCCTTGCCCTCCAGCCCAGTAGGTCACTGGAATTGCCCTATGGGGATAGAATGTGAAGATTTTTCCCTGCTGAAATGGTGAAGTGGGGTGTTGTGCTTAAACTCCAAGCCCATGACAGTGTCCTAAGTTATGGGATAAGAGTTCTGCCTCAAAGGCCCTCTTGGTAAAGTAAGGAGGAGAGGTATGGGATTTCCATAGGCAAGGTTCAAAGGCAGGAAAGAAATTGGGCCTGAGAACCCCAGGCTTTTTTAGCCATACCTTTTTGATTATGTCAAAGCAAGCAACCTAAAAATTTGAAAAAGCTCTGACTTGTCTTGGTGGCACTGAGGGGCAAGGGACCTTCCACCTTTGGTGAAGATAGGTCAGTGGGAATGCTAAAGGCCCCAGGATAGTGGAGGCAATTGTGTTCCCAGCTGTAAAGGCTGAGGTTAGCCAGGAGGTGGTCAGAGGGGAGAGACAGGGAGGTGGGGCCTGATGGAGGCCTGCTGATGGGCACTGTGGATGTCATCTCCTCACTCAAGACTCTCCCCAAGGTTGACCACTAATATCCTTCTAATATCCCCTAATATCCTTCATAAGTCAGATTCCCCACTCCCCAGCCCCATTCCATTTTCCATCTTGCTTCTTTTCTAGTTGAAGACCTGATCAAATATCTGGATCCTGAGTACATTGACCGCATCTCCATACCTGATGCCTCTAAGCTGCAATTCATATTAGCAGGTAGTGCTGGACAGTGTGTGCACATGAATCTGGGGATTATGGATTGTGGGGGAAGTTGGGCACAGAGATGGCCTCTCTGCCAGTCCTCTCATGGATACAGCTCTGGAAGCTGCTGTCTGGAATTCTGGCCTGGCTCTGGGCTGAGACCTGAGGTCATCCTGTAGTCCTCTAGTAGGCCTTGGGTGTGGTATCATTCTGAGTAGCTGCAGGCCATGGTGCCAACAACAGTGGGAACTACTCCAGTGTTCTTTTTTTTTTTTTAAAGATTTTTTATTTATTTATCTGAGAGAGAGAATGGGAGACAGAGAGCATGAGAGGGGGAGGATCAGAGGGAGAAGCAGACTCCCCGCTGAGCAGGGAGTCCGATG